AAAAAAAAAAAAAAAGACAAATAAATACTAACAGGAATGATAAGGAGGAACATGAATATAAATGCTTCAGAGATTAAAAAGTTTATAAAAGAATGTAATGAACTTTTTGTCAAATCTGAAAACAAATGCAATGAACAAACTCCTAGAAAAATAAACTTATACAAAGTTTATTACTTGAAAACCCGAATAGTTCTATAAGCTTGCTTTGATTTCTCCCCCAAGTAAATTATTCCAACATTATTTGCCAAATATCTTTCCCTTCCCATTTGTCAAATAGTCTATCAACTCAAACTGTAAAATTTGGCAACCAGAACCACTGCCAAAGCCGGACAAAATGGTAAGGCAAGTTGGTCTCCTTTTTTTTTTTATTGTGATAGTCACTTTATTGGGGTTGAATGAAACAATCTATTTGTATATAATTGTATACATTTTGTACTCATGAACACAAAAATATAGAACCCCTTCATGAATTTGCCTGTGGTCCTTGTGCAGGTGCCATGCTAATTTTCTCTGTATCATTCTAATGTTTAGTGTTTGTGCTGCTGAAACAAGCCAAAGCAAGTTTGTTTCTTTACAAAGCTAATGATGCCTCTGTTTTGCATATCAATAAATATGTATATGAGGTGAAGATGTGCTTTGCCTAGACAGCTCCCTGGCAAGTGAAGGCAATGTGGTATAAACAGCACTGCCAGGGGAACCAGGATCTGGGAGTTTTAGTCCCAAATCTACCACTTTCTTGCTGTGAGACTTGAATGATCCCCTTCAGCTACAAAACTCAATGATGTTTACCTGCAAAAGTTAAGTACCTTTGCTATTAAGAGCAAATGATTAGTTTTTATAAGGTTTATTTTCCATAAAATTTCTATGTAATTGAGAATGTGCACTTAGGAATTTCTAGCTATCCTTATATGATACTTTTTATTCTTTTTCTTTCTCTCCATTTCTTTATTTTAGTCCCCAAATATCTACCTTACGCAACTTTAATTTCAGAATGCCTTAGAGGACAAAACTGAGCCTCTGAAAGGAGGATAAAGGCAATGAAAACATTGCTTCTTATACTCATAAACCACTTTTTACTGACTGTAGAGAATGAAAGATAAAATAATTTTAATTTACTAATCAAATGGTAGGAAATAAAGTTTCAAACCGGAAAGTGAGTAACTAAGAAAACTGTTCTAATAACAGAAAGAGGAGCATGGTTGGTTATTAAACTAAACTCATCATAAACTAAAATAATTTATAAAATATTTCTATAAATAATAGAAAATATTAAAAGATTAAAATAGCAAATTTTAAAATTAAAATTAAATTTAAAATTAAATATGAACTTTAAAAAACATTTCTATTAAGGGGGTCCTAGGTTGCTCAGTTGGTGAAGTGCCCAACTCTTGGTTTTGGCTCAGGTCATGATCTCACAGTTTGTGAATTTGAGCCCTGCATTGGGCTCTGCACTAACAGTGTTGGAGCCTGCTCGGGATTCTCTCTCTCCCTCTCTGGGCCCCTCTCCTGTTCATGCTCTCTCTTTCTCTCTGTCAAAATAAATAAACTTAAACAAACAAACAAACATTTCTATTAGGAATTTTAAATAGCTGAAAGTCAGTATATTCAACATTAAAAACCAAAGTCTACAGGGGCGCCTGGGTGGCGCAGTCGGTTAAGCGTCCGACTTCAGCCAGGTCACGATCTCGCGGTCCGTGGGTTCGAGCCCCGCGTCGGGCTCTGGGCTGATGGCTCAGAGCCTGGAGCCTGTTTCTGATTCTGTGTCTCCCTCTCTCTCTGCCCCTCCCCTGTTCATGCTCTGTCTCTCTCTGTCCCAAAAAAATAAATAAACG